TTTGACAACGTTAACTTTTAACGTTAAAATAACGTCGGTAATGAACCGATTTAGTGAGAACATATTGACGTCTTTGTAACGTTTCCTTAACTCACAAATATTTTGGAGCCATTTCCACAATGTTGAAATTCAATCATCCATCGACGTTTTGCTGAATATTTAAATAACGTCAGATCAATACGGTCCATGAACGTCATTATTGACGTCACGTTTTGAGGTTATTTCAAATCGAAGAATCGAAAAAATTTTAACGTTAACAATACGTCGGAAATGAACCGACTAAGTGAGAACACAAAGTTTTTGTCATGTTTTTTTCCACCAACAAATATTTTGATATTAAAAGCCTGTTTTTGACAACGTTGAATTTTAACGTTTGAGTTACGTCACATATGGACCATTGTAGTAAAAAATCAAACGTTCCTGTTTGTTATGTTTTCAACACAAACGAACTTTACGGACACGTTGCAACAACGTTCTTTTTATACCATCAATAGAGGTCTCAAGTTTACGTAGCCTCGATGTGTAAAGAACGAAAATGTGCAACGTCTTCTAGGAACTTATATGCTACTTATGAGCAACGTGACATGGACGTCATTGGTTGCTGGATCGATTATTTTAAAAAGTGCTCTGTCTCGTATAGGGTAAAAATATCGAACACTCAATTCGCTACTACATGTATATATCGGGGGGAAATGTGGAACTTTGAAAGTTGTTAACCCTGCTTGAAAGGTTAGGTGCCCGGTGGACCGGTTACCCGATCACCCGGTCACCCGGTCACCCGGTTTTCTACACAAACCCATTTAGGTCACCATATGAATCAATGGCAGAGTAGGACCATAATTTGATAGGTAAGGACCTCCTACCCTTTTACACCGGCTGATTCAAAAGATCCAGTAAGTATGATATGAGACGGTAGTTGTGACAAAGGTGACTCATAGAAGTGAATTATCTTTTGAAATTCAAATTTTTGTATCAAAACCTAATACTTACAAATGTTACCGATAAACTTTTTCGATAGTTACCAGGCCGATAGGGAGATGACAGTAGTGGTTCATTTTTATATTTATTCATACAGGGTGACGCAAAAATGCCACCCACCCACAATGTTGTATAACTTTTTGTCTGCATATTCCTCATCCTCCTAAGCAGGTATCCAGAATCCTTACCTCCTTCTCCCCCCTGCTATAACCAATTTGGAAGCCCTGTGATCGGAGGAATCATATTCCTTGGCACATTAAAACAAGGCATCGACATGACAAAATGTCACTACCTGCAAATGGTTACAAAGGTTTTACAATTGTTACTAATGAAGGTCAACCAAAGGTCAAATCTAAGGTCAGATTTGATTTTTTTCTAAACACTTTTAGACATTCAATATGTTGCTATGGTAACAGATATTGAGAAATGTGTTGGAATTCATAAAATGCTTATATATATTTACAGTAAAAATGTGAAGTCAGTCTTAACCGAACGCCGACTGCCGAACACAAACCGCAGAACCCCAAACATAGTCCACAAAAAGTTGAAGAATATAACAAGATGTCAACGCGGTGGCATAACTAGACTCATTAGAGCAACTCCATAATTAGTTTCAGAAAATACAAGCAAAAATCTTTATTATTTAAAAAAATAGTGTTACACAAGGTGGGTGGCATTTTTCATGTAGAATCCAGGTGTGCTTGCAGAGGAATACTACAGTAGACGACGTTGAGAGCCAATCTTGTAGCTCTCATAAAAGTTTATCTAGTTGAACTAGTCATCTGAAACGACTTATTGAGTTGCTAAATCTACTTCAAATGTGTTTAAGAACAAGTCAGAATTTATGCAGACAAAAAAATTCTGGAACATCATGGGGTTGACATATTTTATGTCACCTTGTATTTGAGAATCCATTGCATTGGAATTCTATATTTATTCATACCTGAGAATCTATTCCATTGAAACACACAACTACTGCCATCTGTCTGCAGCTTTGAATATTCTAAAATCTAAATTGTATATGCTACCAGGGAAGGTAAAGTTTTAATTGGTGTAGAAGATTTAAGAAACATTCGTTGCAGCCTGATTTAACGTAAAAATCTCTATTAAATTTATTTTAGGATCTACCGAATATAATTTAATATCACCACTGACAGTCATCTTGATTCTCAAGGTATTAGTTGCTCCAACTTCACCTTGATATATCTAGTGTAGTGTTCCATTCCTTAAGTAAACAAAACAAAATGCTTATGAGCATGGTGTGCTCACAGCAAAGACGATTACGTAAGACAAACAGATCACTTCAATAGGTTCTTTCAATAGACATTCATTAAGGGCCATAAAATTGTCTTTATAAGTGTGGTTACTTGTGAAATGAATATTTGAACAAATTTGATTGGCACCGTGGTCAAACACACGGGGAATGAGCCACCACACAGTAATGAGACAGAAAAATCAGCTATTTGTTCCAAGGGGTGTTATAACCACTTGGAATTCGAAGATGACTGACAGTAAGACTACAATATAAGCCATAGCGGTTTTAACTTTACACGGTGCCTTTAACTAGCAGTAAGTCAACAAAACCTGAAACATTATCTAAGATTGTATAAGTGAACGAATCTCACGTTAATGTACTTAAAAAGTCGATATTGCAAAGGATCGGGTATAGTATGGCAAGTGATTTATGACAGTCATATATTTCACCATGAGTACTTTCTGGCCATAAATACATTGTTTTTATCATAACAATATGTTTTCTTTAAAGTGAAGGCCCTCTGATAATAAAAATGTCGATCGAAATATCTCTCAAAAAGTATTGATTAGGACCCCACTTTGTCACTCACACACTTTGAGGATCGTGTCTTTCTCAATTGAAATAAACTAAAAGTTTCTTCTACACTATGTTGACAACTTCAAAAATGGGGATGGCTATTGAAATGCGATAACATTAAAACTCAAAAGTTAAAAAACACATATTCCATGTTATTTTCCCAAAGGGAAAACTCATGCTATCCATTGTTTTAAGCATAATTTTGTTCATCGAAAATTAATATCTTCAAAAGAAGAATGGTAATGACCCCTTGTTAAATGATCTTTTCATTCAATAAAAATCAGAAAAAGAAGATACTTCTTTTGAGTAAATCGGTTCATATTTATAATTTTTGAGTTATTCGATTGATATTTTTTATTATACTTGAGAATTGTCATATTGTGTTAACGAGAAATGACATATTCAAATTGAAAAATTAGTCCTGGTATATGACCTTGTAAAATCACTTGCTATACTATACCTGGTTCTTTATTGTTTATATTTGTTTTTTTTAATCAAAACATATTTTTTCAATGGCCTTATGATTATCAACTTTAAAAACCAGAGATACCTCATTAATAAAACTGTTTACGAGATTGGTGTCATTTCCTTATCAATTAAACTATTGTGTTTGTTTTATGCACTTTATCGCCGTATTTGTTTGGCAAAAGACATATCGAAAGTTCATTAATCATGCTACTAGGAGTGCATTATCATTTCAACTTAGAATCGTATTGAAATAAATTAAGCTGCATGTCAAGGTGAATGCATATACGTACTGATTATGTTACGTGTTTTACAAGATATCTCACATACCCTTAGGGTTAGAGCCTAGCATATGTTCAAACGAAGCTTTCATTTTAAAAAGAGCAATCAAATTATTCGGAAGCGTATTTTAATCGGATAATTTTTAGAAATTGTAAGATACAAAGCACATTCCGAATTATTAGACAACGTACCTTCGTGTATATTGATAGATCAGGTAAGAAGGGCGAGTTTTTTTTATAATACTTTAGATCTACTATCGCAAATATTAAAATTCCGGGAAATAATAAAATTCGAAATATATACATAAAAGAAATTCTTACACTATAATGCCTTGGTCACATTTCCTCCTATTTTCACTACGGCGCCCGGCCGATTGAGTATTTTGTTCGAAATTGAATACAATATTGAACAAAACACTCAATCGGCCGGGCGCCGGCCGATGGATCGGAGCCTATGTGACCCAGGCATAAGTAAATTATCAATATATCTTTTGTTGGATAACCTTTGGTGATGTAAGGCTTCAGCTATATTTTTTCCATGGTCATCACCCGTAGTCAATGAAGATTCCAAAAGTATAGCATCGTCATGGATTATATTTATTAATCTGCTTCAATAGTTAGATTTTCTGATTTCCAAATCAGTTTCAAAAGCATAGATTATGGTCCCGGGGTCGAATTTGAAAATGTGAGATTTTGGAAGACTTTTCCATAGGTCCCTTTTTGATTTTACTCGCATTTTCCAAAATTAACCATTCCGAAAAAAACGAGGCTTATTTTTGGAAAACAAGAATCAAATGTCCATTTTAGGCCAAACTTTCCAATTTCTTTCAGATCCGCTAGAGTAACTTAAAATTAAAATAATGTATGTTTAAACAAGTCGTTTCGAACTTTATCGAAACCCACTAGGTTGGCATACACATAGAAAACCAAAATCCAAAGTCCAGTTATCAATAAAAGATTTTCCAAATAAAGACTTTACTTGAAAACTACACAGAAAAAAATCGTTATTTAAGATTTAAGAATTTATTTCAAGATTCGAGGTGCAGAAATGAATAATCCAAAATGATGAATGTGGAAATGCAGATCACAGAACAATTAACTTAAACCTTACCTATTCTCCAATAAAGAAGATCGGGAATGATGAGAACATAATATAATATTAAAGGCCCCGTGGAAGGTATAAATCACCGGCCTACGCGATGTTATTAAAATGTGATATGTCAATTTGTTCTTTTTAATTTCAAAAAGTTGAAGGAATTTTATTTTTAAAAATTGTTAACTTATTTCAAATAATTCTTGATTTTAAAGATAATTATTATTAAGCAATATTTCATATAAATGGATTATGTGTATCCGAATATATAGCAAATAAGAAGATAGATTAAAAACTCACGAGGGAGAATATGGGTTAGGAGCATTCTTCTGATTTGGTTATCTTGTACTTCCAGAATCAATTTACATACGTTTAACTACACAGTGACCTGCAGAGGGCGCTATCACAAACAAGTACTGCACGAACCGATAAATCCCCGGGTATTGTAACGCCCTTGCATAAGATATGCCAGTGATGTTTTTGATAGCTCTGATCCTCAGTCTCATGTGGGGTCGCCAAGGTGTTGACTCACAAGCTACCACGATCCAAACGATGGCTAACAATACAGAGGTACCTTACGAAACTGTAATAAAAACTGTTTCTCCAATGGTAAGCGTTGGGCAATGCAAATTGATTCCAAGAGATGGATCTATTAGAAATACTATAGCAAAAGCAGAATCAGCAAAACTATTGGAGTATAAATTAGAATTCGCTAATTACACCGTGAATCCTCTTTTGGTGCAGTCCATTCGAGAGAATTACAAAGCAAACATTTGGCAGAAGGCATCCACGAAACACGGACGGGCTCTTGTGACTCTAAGCTTTAATTTCGATGTCTTGTCTCTATCTATACTGTCTTTGGGCGTTGAGAAGCATACTGTGATATTAAAGGATAAGCCCGTTGGTTGCTTTGGAGAGTTATCCGAAAAGGAAAGAATGGATAATGTATTATGGTTATTAAGTCGAGACTTTGACCACGAGAGTGAGCTGCCAACTATAGCTGAAGATGACTATATCTGTCACCAAGTCTTCCATACAAGCGACTTAACTGCCAGATTCGTTGATAAATGTTGCAGTGTAGATATTCATCGAAACATGACGTGTGTATTTGAATTCAGAAGCGTTACTCTCGATGTCCTGATCTATTTTGTGATGGCGCTCAAATTTGTTGTGTTTCTCCTTGCACCTTGTCTCATCCCTTGCGCTGTATACATGTTTTCACGAGGCGCTGACACATTTAGGGTAATTCTCAAAAGTTCACTTCAGAAGACAATCCTTTTAGCAAAGGATCCTGGACACGTAAACTATGTTCATCGCTGGCCCGCACAGGCTTTAGACAATTTTGAAAAATTTCAAGAGACTGTTAAAACTATTCCAAAAGACAAACCAGTAAAGATTACCTTTCACGACTACTACGTGACAGTAAGAAATGATCATGTTGTCACGGAAAATCAAATACCTGTAGGTCCATTTGCTTGCTTCAAATATAGGCTTCTACAGTGTGGAATAAGGAAATTCTGGGCCTGTGCAGAATGTTGCAATGCTAGCATATGTGGACTTCTCATATCATCTTGTTCTATCAAATGGAAACACATTGGATACGCAATTTCAGGTTTGATTCTAGTAACGTTGATAATCCCATTTCCATACTGGATAAGGCTGATTTTCTTTCATGTATTTGAAAGGGAGGAGTTGTTGAGTAGGTCAGAATTTGCCAATAAGTTTGGGTTTAACAACGCCTACGAAATTCACCTTGTGCAGTATTTCTTCCCGGAGAGTGCGATATTTATTGTTTGCTACGTTATGTATGCTATTCTCATCTTGCTGCAACTTTTCTTCAAGATCGAGCCAAGTGGAACTTATAGAAATATAGTTAAACGTTCCTTTATGGACATGCATAGTCTTCCTTTTGGTACCATCATCGGGACAATGGTAGAGCTACTGTTAAAACCATGTAGGTTTCTTGGATGTTTAGGGCTCATCATTAGCGTCATAATCTGGCCAATTGCTCTTCCCATATGTTTAGTGTGCTTCGTTTTAAGTTGTGCCCCAATTTTGTACCTGTCATATAGACTTTTTGTGCACATCTATACCACGTTGTCTCATTCCTATTCCAAACTTCCGACGAACGAGAACCTGCACACAACGGAAGCGGGGACGTTTCCTAGTACCAAACCCTCTGGTAAAAAGATGGGCTGCATAAATAAAGTTCTTTGCATTTTCTTGCCATTTATTTACCTGTGTGGGATTTGGTGCACGATGTTTTTAGTGTCGGAATGCTTTGGTTTTGGCCTTGAAGTTCTAATATTTACACTGATAGGTCTTATTGTTAACGCTGGCTCCGTCTTGAAATATCTCTCAATTCTGTTTCTTCTGATCATATATTCTTATGAGTGTTTCCATAACGTCTATGTAAAGTACCTGACTCTGAACAAGGCAATCTTTAAGGATGTATTTGGACGGGTCAAAGATGACGTTACAGAGGTAACTCAACTTCCAGGTCATTTACAAGAAAATCGTGGTTTCAAATCAGAGGCCATGGTTGAGCAGAAAAGACACAAAACGCCCGACGTGTTGTCTGAGCGGCGTCCAATGCATTGGAATATCAATGATTTGGTCCTTTTTGTCAGTAAATTTGACGTACATTTTGTACCTGTGAAGTTATTCTATGCAATTACGATGATAGAGGTTGCAGGCTCGCCCGGTCCAATCCATAAAAGTATGTTTCACGCTTGGAGACGGTTTGGTCAGATCGTTGTCTTTCTGGTTTTCCTCGTAATGACGGTCAGTTTATTTGCTAAGATTTATAAGGTCGGTTCAACGAGCCAAATGCTTGCTACTCTGGCCGGTGGTATCTTTCCATTCGTTCTCCGCAACTTCATGTCTCCAAAGGCTACACCAATTGAATTAAACTCGTGTACGTTTAATTGTAAGGTCGATGAGGTTATCGGAAATTTCAAAGAAGATTGGCCAATAGCTGATCTACCGTTTGAAGTTAATGAAGACCAAAGTGGAGTTGAGTCATGTGAAAAGGTTGATCTCTTTATCCAACTTCCCAAATCACGTGGTCCTAAAGAAATGCTAATTAATATGGGTTGGAGAGGCAATAATTACAGTCTTGGTCATACAGAGGATGACGACGTGCATGATGTGAATGGTGAATCAAAAATATAACTTTTTTGAAACTGGAAGTCCCCTTTGGGCCATGTGTTCAATCTTATGAATGTTATGCAATTCCTAGCAATTCACTTACTAGTAAGTCGTACATTTCTTACTTTCTTGAATCGATGAACACAATAAAGATTTAAACATAAACTAAAAAAATGTTATCCACTGAGTTCCTGTCTGTTTTTAATTATGGAGGGGTGTAAATTAAGAGCCACGGTCCGTCAAATCAATCATTTTTTGAATTATCTCCCGATTTCTTTATTAGAAATCTGTATTTTTCACATTTTTCAGAAAAAGGACCCAGATTTTCACTTTGATTGCTAGACAGGAATTCGATGAAGGCTCTTTTTACACCAATCGGACATACAATAAAATTCAAGAAACATTACAATTTGTGTTACCTGCAACAATACCTGTGTGACTTTCAATATCTAACAGTGTTTGTAAGTTCTATCAGTTATTAGTAAAGGATAAACAACGAGCCTTGGGTATTGCGTGAAAAAACACACCCCATGCAGACAGATCGCTTAAAATTACATTCGTATGATGAAAGACTCGACATTCAACAGGAAACTAGAAACATTTTGTCACCAATGATTTTATACTGCTTAATAAATGGTGAATGATAGTCAAATTAAGTTCTACAAGTATGAGAATAGTATGACGTTCTAATATTTCAAGGTAACTCGTTTGAAAAATGATGGAAACGATTCAAATTACAATGTAAAAAAAATAATTGAAAGTATTTTGTTTGGTCTAAATGTTCAAAGCTAAAAGACCTATTATGCACGTTCGTTCCCTATTTTGACTAAGACTATCAATACAAAGCTTACTTATAATTGAAACAAGAGTTAGTGGTTCTCTATGGTATTTAACTTTGATATAACTTGTGGAACTGTTTAGACTGTCTTCGATTTTTTCAAAATCATCTACAAGTTTTCAGAAGTTCAAATCTGACTTTATATTTTAGATTTCACCTTCAATGACCTCAGGATTTTCAAGGTCAAAAAAGGTCAAAATGACTTTTTTATTTACTTTATGATTATTTCTTGCTTCAAATTGACCTCATTTTTTCAAAATCATCTACAAGTTCTCAGAAGTTTAAATCTGACTTTGATTTGAGATTTCACCTTCAATGACCTTCTCGGGATCAATAAAGGACTTTTTCAGCTTGCATCAATAAATAATCTACAAGTTCTCAGAAATTCAAATCCGTCTTAAGATTGAACTCATAATATTGTGAGCAACTAGGTGATGACATTTTGTCATGTTAATGCCTTGTTATTACTGTCATTTCATTTCATTCATTTTCAAATACTCTATTCTATCATCAGACCTGTACATCTTTGGACAAACGATTGCCATTGCATGTTTATATTCACTCTGTGTGTTCATGTCCACTCATATTTGCAGAAGCACTCGTTGGCATAAGCTGCGCACTCAAAACCCGGATTTGACGTCATCAAAATCCGGGTTTAGAGTCATTCGCGTTATTAATATTTTATTCACATATAGCTAGGCAAGGTTTGTCCGATTCCAGCCAATCAGAACAGAGTATTCACATAATGAACAATGTGTGAAATATCAATAACACATGCAAGGTCACTAGTTAAACAGTTGTCATGGTGAAGAATGGACTTCTCACATTGGATTTGATGACTTGCCAACTTGACCCTTGCAAAAAATGCCATTGAAAATGTGTTATTTTGGTGAGTTTGTTCCTTTTAGGTGATGTTGGAGACAATATTTTGCAATGTGTGAAAATAATTTAAGCCCATTGTAGCTGCTTCATTCCACTCAGGCGTTGTTTCCTAAACTTCGCATTCCCGCTACGCGGTCATGCAAAGATTTGGAAACAACACCTTCTTGGTATAATTCAACAATGCATTGAGTCCAGGGCTTAAATCCTTAATTGTAAGATGTTGACCCAGACTGACATAACAGAAATTGTCAACATGGAGAATGGTAATAGCGCGGAATTGTATTTAAATCAAATATTATCCATATTTATGAATAAAAACAAATATATTTCACGTGCTTAATCTCTACTGGTCAAACTCTCTTTGTTTAAAAAGGAACCCTGGAAAATATCTTAGTGACTATCGTCAAGATGACTTGTCTTGGAGGGAAGCCTCGAGCTCTCTATCTTTTTAAATAGCTCTGTGGGTTCTTCATAAAATAGTCTGGATTGGTCTTGTAATGTGTAAAAGACAAGATAAACGCAGAAGTAATATATTCATAACACTGCTCTTTATTCAACAGGCAATGCGCCTATTTTTGAAGGAAAAAGGACAAAATATTATTTGAGACATGTCACTCACACACTTATCAAATATGATAAAAAAATTTATTTTGGATAATACTGATGTGAAAAAAATTACTTGCATAGAAAACAGCATTTGAAGTTCAGAGATTGAAAAAAGTTTTCACAAAGTGTATGTTTTAAATAACTCTTGGATTAAAAGATGGCGTATGCTTGAAAATCCTATCAAAAATGAATGGATAATTAATGCAAACAACAATGCCATCTTTCTATCGCATTGCTAAAAACTTGACATATAAAAATTGATAGATCAAAAATATTTTTTCATGATCTAGTGTCAATTCTGATGTGGTCTGTTTGAGCTGTTTTTGGTGTCAAATGAAAGATCAGGTACTTATTTATCCATTGGAAATACTATGAAGATTTAAAGTGTGACTTCATTTACGCACCTTATCCCTTTCCAAATAAGAAGAGTAACCATACACTATACATAGACACTGTATTAAAAATTTTCGCTGATGCTCTATTTGCCCCCCAATCTAACTCTCTGCTGACGGAAGAGAAAACTCCCTGGAGCTACTGGAACTTGTACGAAATAAAAAGCTGTATCCCCTTTATGGGTCCAATATACCCTTATATTGCAGAAGTTAACCCTACAACCATGGCCTTTCAATTAAATTTAATTCAATTCTAGTTGAAAGCCCAAGCTACAACACAAGAAAACATTAAAAGATGGCTGAAAAATTAGCATTGGAATTGCTATACAAATAATGTTGGTATTCCCGGGGATTTATAAAATTAATATTACACTGAACTAAGTTGAGACTTGTAAATATCGAAATCAATACTTTCGTTTCAAATTCTAGCTTTTAGACGTGAGTGATTTCGTTTCTGGTTCCTCGTTGTAGTTAAACCAAAATGGGCACGGGAAGACTTTTACCACATATTTGGTCAAATACTTAGATTCTACAGCCGTCTGCAGTATGATCTTCCGTCAAAACAGGAGATTTCCACTCTTGTGACGTTAGAGACAATATTTTAATTTATATTGAATGCACGTAGGGCTAATCATAATTACAGTTGGGGACATAAATAAATGACAGGTGGATTTGCTTAAGTGAGGATTTCCCATGTTAAGGTCTCATGGAAGTTAACAGGAAATGACAAAACAAAAAATGACAAAGCCATGCTGGATTTTGAAATTTTTTTGAACCAAGATAACAGAGTTCTGTTTGGACCTCCAGTCAGTTTAACTAGTTCCACATATCATTTACATGACCGGGAACACAGTTGAAATGGTCAGAATGACCATAAACATGATAGAATAACCTTTTCAGCCCTCTGAAAATGTGACTAAAAAATAGCTAAGAGTAGGTGCTCAGGAAAGGTCACTGAACAGAATATTTTGACTTTTTCAGAAAATGTGCCCAATATATTGCTCTAAATGATACAATTCAAAAAAATTTGATATCATTCTTAGAAAAAGAAAAAAATGAAAAAAACTGAATTGAAAATCGATCTATTTTCCTTTTTACTACAGCTATTATTGTTTCAGACGATTTTTTAAAATTTCAAAGATTGTGTCATTTAGAGCAATATATTGGACACATTTTCTGAAAAAATCAAAAGATTCTGTTCATTGACCTTTCCTGAGCACCTACTTTTAGCTATTTTTCAGTCACATTTTCAGAGGGCTAAAAATGTTATTTTATCATGTTTATGGTCATTCTGACCATTTCAATTGTGTTCCTGGTCATGTAAATGATATTTGGAACTAGTTAAACTAACTGGAGGTCCAAACAGAACTCTGTTATCTTGGTTCAAAAAATTTTCAAAATCCAGCATGGCTTTGTCATTTTTTGTTTTGTCATTTCCTGTTAACTTCCATGAGACCTTAAAAATAAGAGCATTTACAAGAGGCCATGAATCAGTGGATGAGATTATACAAAATGTAAAATATACAAATTTTAAGGGATATGTATCTAGACAATATTGGAAATTATGGGCTTTCAGACGACCATAATTAGGAAATGGTGATCGAAAATCGACCTGTCATTTATTTTTGTCGCCAACTGTAGTCTATAGGAAGCAGACCCGTTGCCGGCTTTCACGAATCATGAAATTGATGTCAATATTTTCTGTCCCTATATCTTGACACTGATGGTCAGTTACAAGGATATAACCAACCAGCCTTGTTAGCCTAAGCCTAGCCTTGTGGGTTACAGTTCAAAGTTACTGCGTGTGCATTATGCAATGAGGTAAATCTTTTTTTATTTCCCTGTCCCTGACTGAGCCTATGGAAAGGGGGTTTTGTCATGTAATCATGTCAGGTGGAAATACGTTTTCACGTCACACGTTATTTATCAGAATTACATTCATCGGCCAATCAAGGCAAGTGAATTTATTGGGGTAAATTTTTGATTAGAAAGTATCGCACATCTACACACTTTTGGCTGTGTAAACCTGATTATAACTTTATCGTATCCTACCGACCACTTTTGATTGTGGTAGTATGCCCGTATCATTGGTAAGCCTGTCTTTCTACAATGTCGAAGAATGAACTACGCATTGCACTATTAAATGACCTACCTCAATACATTCCAGAGTATTTTAGAATTCTTTTTATGTTGTTAGATCGCCAATTGTATGGGTTTATCGGCAGAATGAAGAGATTTTAGTTTTTACATCGGAAATATGTGAGCAATTTTCAAAATGTCGGATGGGGAATTCCCCAGGGATTTCCCTTATGACTGGTGCATGCCGGGAACTGAATGGAGGAATTTGACGGCTGAAATAAGTTAAATAATACACGCAAATATTGCTATCCAGTGCTTTCAGTAGGCTTGTCCAAAAGTGCGTCCCTGGGACGGATTGATTTTCCAAAATTGCGCCCCCCCTCAAAAAATTGCGTCCCCATGAAAAAAGCTTCCCGGGAATTCAAAGTCACATTTTTGCACTGAATGAAAAAAATTGATGAAAAGTTTGCATCAGTTTTGTTATTTTTTGGCCCAGATCAGTGTT